TGTTCTAGGTTGGCGTGTGTAAGAAATATCGACTAAATCCTGTTGGTTAGTTGCATTGTCGGTTCTCTTAACTTTGACCTTACTAATTTTTACTCTGCTTGTTCTATTATTGAGAAAATAATGTTAAAATTTTTTCTGTAATTGTGGATTTGCCTTCATCCTTTCACTTGGGTCAGTTTTCACGTCATATATTTTTTTCTTTTTTGTGGGTGCATACATATTTAGGATTATTATGTATTCTCATGTAAACCACATTGTACAACATGACTATATGTAATGTCTCTCTTTATCCTTGGTAGTTGTTTTGCTTTAAACCCTATGTTGTTTGATAGTACAGACACCACTTTTTGCAAGTGTGTTACAGGATACTTTGCTTTTCTAAAAGACCTACCTATTTATTGAAAGAAATTTAAAGAGGGTTTTACTTTAAGGACAGAAGCAAAAAGCAAAACCAGCATTCACAGCTTTTGTTTGTGGCGACCATTACAGAAATTTCGTCAGCCCCCCCCCAACCCTTCACCCTCCCAACACCTCACCCCCATACACCCCTGCATCCTGCATCAAGAGCTAACACCCCTGCATCTTGCATCAAGAGCTAACGGAAGCCGCACCACCTCGTTCCTGCCTCGTTCCTGTACAAATTATTCCTGCTTTTACTGTGTGCTAGTTTCATTTAGATTTTGTGATAATGGATATGACTTAGGAGGGGTTTTTTAGGGCCTGGGGATTCTCAATTTTTTTTTCATATAAATCAATAATAATTGTTTCTTTAGTTTATATCATTTTCAGTTTATGAAAGGTTTTTCAGGAAAGCCCTACTTTCAGATACCAGAAACATATCTGCAATAGAGTTGCTGTCATTTTCTTTTGATTAGTGTTTTCATGCTAGACATTTTTTTATCCTTTCACATTAAGCCTATCTATATCATCATATTTGACATGAGTTTCTTGTACATTTACAACTGCATCTGTGTCCGGAGTCAAGAGGGAGAACAGAAAGCGGAATAAGCCGTGGCATCTGGCTTCACTCTCACAGAGCTGCAGTTTCACTGGTAGAAAGGAAGGCTCCATTCTTGCAGAACTTTCTACCCTGCATGCTCACATTAATGGCTAAATCCACTACTGCCACAAGAGTGCTTGTGGCGGAGTGTGGAGAATGGGGGGGGGGGGGGGG